CTTTCGACAGCACGAAAAGGAGCTGCCTTTATGCCGCGATGTCTGAATTTGGTATCCCCGCAAAACTAATACGGCTGTGTAAGCTGACGTTGACCAACACCAAAAGCTCCATCAGAACCGGGAAGGACATCTCCGAGCCGTTCGATAACAAAAGAAGTTTCAGGCAAGGCGATTCCTTATCGTGCTTCTTTTTCAACCTGCTTCTGGAGAAAATAATTAGAGCTGCAGAACTGAATAGAGAAGGTACCATCTTCTATAAGAGTGTACAGTTGCTGGCGTGTGCCGATGATATTGATATAGTTAGCTTTGCTTTCTCCAGACTGGACAAGGAAGCAAAACAAATGGGCAAAATAGCAGTGAACGAGGGCAAGACGAAATATCTCCTGTCATCAAACAAACAGGCGTCGCACTCGCGAGTTGGTACTCACGTCGCTGTTGACAGTCATAGCTTTGAAGTTGTAGATCATTTCGTCTATCTTGGAACCAGCGTAAACAYCACCAACAATGTCAGCCTAGAAATCCAACGCAGGATAACTCCTGCCAACAGGTGCTACTTCGGACTGAGTAGGCAATTGASAAGCAAAGTCCTCTCTCGACAAACAAAAACCAAACTCTATAAGTCACTCATAATTCCCGTCCTGCTATATGGTGTAGAGGCTTGGACGATGTCAACTACGGATGAGTCGACGTTGCGAGTTTTCGAGAGAARAGTTCCGCGAAAGATTTATGGTCCTTTGCTCTTTGGCCACGGCGAATATCGCATTCGATGGAACGATGTACGAGATATATGATGACATTGGGATAGCGAATTAAATKACAGCGGCTACGCTGGCGAGGTCATGTTGTCCGGATGGACGAAAACACTCCAGCTCTGAAAGTAGKCGACGCTGTACCCACCGGGGGAAGCAGAGGAAGAGGAAGACCTCCACTCCGTTGGAAGGACCAAGAGGAGAAGRACCTGGSTTCTGGCGACTGGCGCTCGGTTGTTAACTCGGCTATAATCGCGTAAGCGGTGDCTACGCCAATCAAGAAGAAGAAGAATGAAAACAGGGTACCAAAATTGATGATGGGAACATTCTCATATTCGTATCGCATTACAGAGTAACACCTCTGGTTTAGGTGTAGTTTTCATTGGCATCTTTGTGTTACGGTGTTCTGTCTTGGCATTCATTTATAATATTTTGGATAAGTAATTGGTTTTTAGGGAAATAGTAAGTTTCGCCCAAAAATTTAGTGGTTTTCTGAATTCCGGGGTGTAGAAGTTTTTCATAAGTAGTCAGGACCCGTTCCTTGCATTCTGCGTRAGTATTTACGTTTTTCAACAAAATCAGGCTGCGAAGAATTTTTCTATAATTCTTGTATATGATCTCCCTGTGTGGGGTTGAATGATTTCGAAATCTGCGTCGATTTCGATATACAATGCGCTA